TGATAAAAATTTCCAGGTTGACTACCTCTCATATCTTCCCCCACTGTTTCACTCACCTCCTTTATACTCAAAAGTTTGGATGTAGCTATTGTTATTTAATGTTACATGTAAGGAAACTGAGACTCAGAGATATTTGGTAACTCGCCCAAGGCCACACCGCTCATTAAGAATTAGATGTGAATTTGATCTCAGTTCTGACTCCAGGTCTATCACTTATTTTACTATACCACATTGCCTATTAAGTTTCAAGCACTGGTATCTTGTGATAAAAAATGAACTACTTGTAATATGAACCTTTTTAGTAGAGAAGTTCCAGAAACAGGACATCACCAGGACCACACTGTCATTTTGGTTTACACTTCCCATGAACTCTTTCCAATAAACATTTCATTTAAATTTAATAAAGTAGTTAATAAAGTCATAAAAGTTAATTACTAGTTAGAGAAAAAATATGACTTCACTTTGGTGAACATGTGAAAAATGAATCAACTTCGCTTTGCAGTTAACCCAGGATTATACAGGCAATAAAACATGATTATGGATTTAACATGTTAATTCCTAGTGGATTTAATAGCAGTGCTGTGGAATACATGACCAATAGCTAACCCATCTGACAAGCCTACAGACAGCACTAATCAAGATGAAATCATTTGGCTTACATGAGGATGCAATATATCTTTCAAGATGAAATGACTGTAATTTTTCATCATAGAGTTATTATAAATGCCTGGAGATAGAATGAAAGGTAGAGAAGGGAAATATTGGGGACACAATCAATCTGACACCTCAATTTGGGAGCTAATTTTTGAAGAAAATAACCTTCTAACATTTTCATAATTATAAGATCCTCTCCAGGGTAATACTGCTGGCTCTAATGGTTCATAATTTACCTGTAATTTGTAGAATAAAGCAAAGCATCCACATTCCTTAAAATATTTTTCCTTTCTAAAAATATACCATTAGTTGAGTAAGCCCTTTGTAATACTAATTATCTAAAATTCAACAGCTTTTTTTCATCAGTGTGACTTTATTCTTAAGAGACTGTGGGTGTTTTGGTGTTGGGTGTGGTATAATAATGACACCTGAAAGAGGAGATCCTATTGACTACAATAGGTAAGCCAATACCACCTCAATTAAAAAAGAAGAAAATAATTCCTAAGTAATACTGTATTTTGTTCATCATGAATTATACTATCTGGAAAATATAAAAGTGTTATTTTCTTTTTATTACTTGAGGATTCAGACCAGGAATTTGAAAATGATAAGCCATTGGTCAAATCTGGCCCTCTATCTATATTTGTAAATAAAGTTTTATTGGTACATCACCACACACACTAATATATCATCTTTTATGCTACAATAGCAGAGGCAACTAGTTGTTACAGAAACTATGTTTCCAAAAGCCTAAAATGCTATCTGGCCCATTATAGAAAACATTTGCAGACTCCTGATCAAGAGATTCATTTTTTTCTGAATTCTAAGTTAATAAAACTTTGTTATTTTAGGGCATTCTATTTCTTCCATTCATTTAAACTATCTTAGACTTGGGTGCTCCCTACATCACATCATAGAAGTGAGAACTGAATGTCGGGACAAGTAGTGTAACATACAATAGATGCTCAAAAATATGAATTCATTGCCCCTCTCCAACATGATGTTCTTGGTGCTACTGTTTTAAATCATAACTTCTAGGTGGAGGCCAGCCCCAAATCGTAATTTTTGAGAACTTTTTCTTATAATATTATGCATATGAATCACTGGGGATAATATTAAAATGCAGATACTGAGTCAGGCTGGAGTCAGAAATTCTTAATTTCTATCAAGTGGCAAGTACCAAGTATCATTTTGATATAGGACATAGAGAACTTCATATTAAAACAAGTGAGTATCCATCTAAGGGCATCTTTTGGAATCTTCTTAAGATTTACCTTGCTTGGAAAAGATTGATTTCTAGGTGCTAATACAGGAGGAGGATTGGGATGGATCGTGTTGGAATCATGCAGTGGACCTACTTGTGACTATTTCCTCATGATAGCACTTATAACAAATGATCCTACTCAATTCATAGATAAAACTTTATTTGTTCTCTTTCATTCACTTATCCATTCAGTGCTCATTATGTACCTACTATGTGCCCATCTGGGTTTTGTCTTGAAACTTTCATTCTCGGGACAGGAGAAGGGGAGAGTGGACTCAGACATGTAAGCTAAAACATTCAAAATAAATATTTTTGAAGTTACGATAGAAGTTTGTGGGGTGTATAAAGGAAGTAATTGTTTATTTCTATCAGCTTGACATTTGGGAAAATACCAACTAAGGCTTCAGAAAGAAAGTTTCCCTTGGATGGATTCTAAAATGTAAGGTTTGTCTCAACAATAGTGGAGCAAAGAATATCCTAAGCTAAAATGTCAGCGTGAAGATGGGCAATAACCTGATCTGAGGACCTGACATTCTACTGATATCATTGCCTTATAGGTTGTTGGATCATATTTGAAAAAGAAAAGGGGAAAAAAAAAGAACTTGCTGCAGTAGACAGTAGAAAATGATAAAGAGTTAAGCATGGGAGCAATTGATCACTGCCTTACATCAGCAATTAGGCTGTTGCATCTGTTCCTTGCTTGTTTTAACTTCCAGACACCATATTTATGATAAAGAGTAGCACCTTAGCCATCTGAGTTCCTGATAAATAAGTGTATATGCAGAAGCTCCATATTTTGAAATGTTATTGTTTAGTATTTGGTATATAAAAATAATGTAACATTTGTTGGTTCTGAAGCCTAACATAAAAAATATATATGTGTCCCTGAACATTACTGAAACTTTTATAATTGAATATTAATGAAAATGTTGAAACTGTCTGTGTCAAATGCTTTCTAATTTACATTAATAAGTGATATATCAATGAGACAAAAGCAACATGACCATATTTCCAAATAGTGGAATATTTAGGTTGGGTCACTTAATAATGTGATAAAACTCATTATCAGTACTTAGCTGTACAAGACTTCTAGTAGCTCAATAGTCACTTTGATGTGGATTTTTAACTTAATTAAATCTCAGAGATCAAACATTTATAGAATATTAGAAATTGAAGGAAATATAAAAAGTTCTCTAAGTCCAACTTAATTATAGATTTATAAACTATTTAGTTTTATGCATGCAAGAGCTGGGGTGTAGGCCAGAGGTGTGAGGGTTGGGGGGTGAAAGGATTCACCAGAGACAGAGTGGGGAACAGAACAGGCAGACTGACTGAAATACACTGCTGAGGGCCAAAGCGGGCAAGACTGGAGAGGTCTATTGTGCCATGTGGGTAACTCCCTGTCCAGGGATTGAACTTGTGCTTCCATGGCTGCTGATAGCTTCATAATACTGAGACTTAACCCCTTGCGCCACCAGGGAGGCCCTTATAAACAATTTACAATCAACCATGCACCCCATTAATGTGATTTTAAAAAGCTTAGGAAAGTGTCAAAGATGAGTCCAGTTAAAACCACAGACAGGAAGAAGTATGAGAATGTTCAGTTGTAAAGTAGTGACATTGTCTTATGGACAGCAGATCAGAGGTTCAGAAAGTGATTGATTCAGTTTCATTTGACTGAGGTTAACAGTGAGTGGCAAACTTATCCAAGATGATACGGTTCAATAGCACCAGACCAATTAGAGGAAATGTGTTTTATTGAACTACTGTGTAGAGGATACTGTAAAGGGAATATATTTGTCTTGTAGAGGAAAGTTACAATCTATTCTATTGGTAAGAGATGATGTATGCAGATTTAAGGATGTCTATATGTGTATATATATCCTTGTATATATGTGTATGTATATATGCATGTATTGGGTGTATGTGCTTTGTCTTTTGAAACAAAAGGATATAGGAATGGATTGGGACCACATGGTTCTTATTTGCAAGACTAAAGAATTTTGAAATTATCTTCTATGCAACAGGGAACCCACGAGGAATTTTAGGCAGGGGAATTACATGAATAAACATGTATGTATATTAGAATCACTGTAGCAGTGTGAATGATGAGCTAGAGACAGAGAGAGCCCAGAAGCAGGGCAACCAGGTAAGGGATACAGAATTGATTCCATAAGGAGAAGCTGTGGGGATGGATAAATATATATTAGTTAAAATATGCATGATAAAAGCATTAGTAACCCATTTTTAAAAAATATTCACACCTAATGGTAACTCTCAAGTATCATCAGATACCCATTTCTTTTTACCTGTTTCCCATTAGATGGATAAATCGTCTCAAGGAGTTTCAGCCCAAAGAGCACTGGAGTCAAGGACAGAGATAAAAATTGGTCCTGGACCTCAGAATTTCAGCTGACCCACATGCCATAGAAGATACTGTGTGAACTGAAGCATATGTATTAAAAATCATTCACCTGCCTCCTCACAGCTGGCTGACATGAACTCTATTAGCATCAAAAGGACAATTCAGGGTGAACTTGGGAGAGAAGAATTGACTTTTACCCTTATAAGTAAGTAGAAGTGACCCCTTAAAGCCTAACACTTCATGGTTATATTATTAGCATTCTGGATTTTGCATGAAAAAGTACTCTCAATAACATAGAAGGCTACATGATTTAGGGTCATAGGTACATTTGAGTGAGATTTTAAAAGCTCAGTCAGCCATGATAAGCTATATAAACACAAGGTGTGGGCAGTGAGAGCTATAGCTTGCCTCTTAGCTCTGTTGCTTATTATGTATGATATAACCTCTTTAAAATACATTTTCCTCATTGAAAACACAGGCATAATTAAACCAACCCACTCACTATTATAAAAAAAAAAAAAACTGTTGTAAAGGTAAAATGACATAGAGTTTATGAATGTGTTCACCACAGGGTATGAAAGCAGAAGGTAACTGAAAAAAGGCAACAACGAAAAAGTAAGCAGTGTCAAGCTGTGTTTAAGATCAGTGACTCTGGAGTTAGGGCCCTCTGGGTTTGAATCCAGACTACAACACTCACTAATTTGGTGCTCTTAATATCTCACATATGTTAATTTTTTTCTCTTTATTTCCATGTTTTCAGAACCAGACAGTGAAATCCTTAAAGATAATGCCAAGACAGTGACCATGTCTTATTTTATGGATACTGAAAATGCATTGTATATGTGTGTGTGTATGTGTGTATGTGTATATGTACCTATATGTGTGTATATGTAAATTTAAATAACAGTTGTATTTAATAATACTTAATATACATAACTTGCGTTAAATAACATATACTCCTATTGTTAATATAGTCTCTGTAGTATTTGCAACTCTTGGCAGCTAATATTTGTAGTTAAATCTGGGAAGTAAAAATAAGTCAAATATTTTAGAAATCCATAAAGAAAAATCAGATGAGCAATGTTTGTAGGTCACCAATTTAATTATATGCATTTCTCTTCAAAAGGAGTTTCAAATTTATCTATCAGCTTTTTGTTCCAGTTGCAAAGTGATAGGTGAATCTTTTTGGTCATGTTCTCAGATTATATTCATGTTTTCAAAGATCTTTGGTGATTAGTCGAGTAGACCATTTGCCTCTCAGAACTGTTTGTGACTCTGTACCTCCAATACTGTCTCCTTTATGTTCATTCTTAGCCAGGTAATATTTCTGAAGGCTTGAATTCACCTTTTTCTTTTGGATTTGCCTCCTGCAGAAAAATGCACACTGAGAATGACTACTCACTTGCTGTGTATCATTTAATTCATCACAGACTTCCTCTGTACTTTGTGTATCTGTACACTGGCACTTGTTTTTTCTGTGCCTAAATCCTCTGTTTTTTCTAGTTCTAGGAAATGTGGCTCTTTGCTTCATCTCTTCTTTCCTTGGGGATCTGGGTTTCTCAGTATGTGGGCATGTGGGACTGACACAGTGACTTCCAGCTTGGGAAGCAGCTTCACTTTTAGAAGGACATTTGGGTCTATTCTCAGCAGTTGAAGAAAGCTTCCTATATTGGACTGTGGATGAAAAGGACTCTGGGTAGATTGATTCATGCCCATACACATTCTTTTCTTTTGAAGGCTCACAAAATATAGTAAGGGTGAAGCATTCACTTCTGTGGCTTCCTTTCAAAGAGTGAGTACTTGAATCTCTGCTTACAGATCTTTTGCAAAGTCTGTCACACCAGGATTTTGATCTCCGAATATTGAACCTTGAGTGTTTTTGGATTGTTCTACTGGAATGTGAACCAACCTCTGCAAACTGGGAGGATTGTCTACACAACATCCTCTTTTTTCTGGAAGAGATCAGCTTCCTGCCATCTTTCTTCGGAGACAGAGCAATTTCTGAAATGCAACTCCAAGAGGGGTCTCTCTTTCTGTACTTGCAACTTATCAAGGATCTTTGTCTGGGGTATCTTTTCTGGAAGATTTTTGGTGAAGAATCTGAGTAGTTGTTTTTTTCTACTTCTTTTTTCTGACAATTTATCTCCTGGTCAACATTTAAAATCTTTCTTTCTTTTAGGTTAAACTTACAGGGCTGCTCCTGGTTAAAAATTGCTGGGGTACTGATGGTACGAGTAGTTGTTTCACTCTTTCCTAAATTCTGGACATGACTAGGAATCAACTTTATTCCTTCTTTCTTCCTCTCTTGAAGACTTTTTTTGCAATTCAGAAATCCCTGACCCCCTTCCCTTGGTTTAGCCCAATGCAGGAACATATTATCAGTAGAAACCGTGCTTTTATTATCACCTGAATCTGATTTATCTTTGATCCAAGCATGTTTTTTACTTGCTGTTTTATGAGGGGCTACTGGAATTTCAGATTTTTTAAATAAAGAGTCAACATTCAAAAATTGTTGCAAGCCTGATAGAGGTCTTTTTTCATTATTCCATTGGCCCTTGGTATTTTTAGACTGCTTTGTATCATGCTCAGAAACAAGAACAGCTTGATCTGAAGGCAAAGGCAAAACAGGAGCTGATGCAGTGGATTTCTTTTTTACCCATGGTGAAGCAGAAGGACATTGATAGATGGCTCGCTTGTCATAGGTATCCATGTTGTAAGGTGAGTGAACAAAATTTATAAACTCATGCAGAAAATGATGGGTATATTGTTGGAGATAAGGTTCTAGGAGGTGAATGAAGGACTCACTGTCCAGATCATATTCTGTCATGTGATGGAGGATGGTGGCTAGGATGCTCTTCACTGTGTAGCCATAATCTCCATAAACAGCTGTTAGTTCCCGTTTCAGCCATGGGACCAACCGCTGTAGGCAACCAGGGTTTCTCTTGAAATAGTTTGCTGAAAAGTGCTTTTCAAGTCTATGTCCTTGGACATATGCCACCCAAATTCCAGAATAATACAGAGCTCTTCTGAACTTCATTACTACCTGATCTTTAAAGTAGCCCACGGACACCGAGTTTGGTTGGAATTTCCAGGTATCCCCAAACTCCTTCAGTAACTCTTGTACAGTCAGCTCTTTCAAAGGTCTGAGTTTCTTTGCAATGCATTCAGGGCTCAGACTGAGATGATTGTTTTGAGTGGACTCCACATAGCTTTCCTCCTCTGAGGGAAAAAAGAGTGAGTCTTCTTTGGTATTATTTTCTGACCTGGTAGAACATGGATCAGGGAAGAACTGCACACTGCAAGAAGGCCTGGATTTCCTTCTTGATCTTGAATGTTGAGAGTTATTGACACTCTTGTTGGAATGGGAATTCCCATCAGGCTCGATTTGCATATCCTCCAAGCAGCTAAGCCTCTCACAGTCAGATGAGAAATCTAATGGCATTACCCTGAACTGATTATATTTCACAGTTGTATGTGAGAAAAATTGGTTCAAATCAATTCCTCATTTGGCATGAAAAAAGCCCTATTAAAAACATTCCATGCATATTTCTGTAATATGTCTTGTCTCCATGGAATAAATTCTAGAATAAAGCTAAAGAACAAACACTTCCCTCACATTAATAATAATGAGCTCAATAGCTCACAGACAAGGCAATGAGGACTCAGGCACACTGATTTTCTCTTTCTCCAATTATTTGCTGAGAACTCTGAAAAGCAAATTAAAAATATACACCAATATTTCAGTATCATGTCCTTTAACTTAGCAATTCTAACTCTGGAGATTTAATCTAGATGTACAAATCCTGAAATAGTTATAGATTGGGTTTTTTTTAATAATAAAATAAGCAAAAATAACCTAAGTATCTACCAGTAGAAAACTTGTTAACTAAATCATGGTTTATCCTTTGTATTTAATGCTATGTAGCCATTCAAAAAGAAAGGCAAGTCCAGTACATATATGAGAAGATCACTGGATATATTGTTAAATGAAAATGTTAGTTTATATAGAAAGACTATTATAAAATCTTAGAGCTTAACTGTTCATTTCTGGTAATATAGAGAACTAGACACCTTGGAAAATAATCCCACTAGGAATAATAAAATAATGCAGGCTGTAATTGTAAATATAGATCAATACAAATATATCTAAGTTGAGAGGAATGAGTGAAATTCTCAGAGGCAAAAAACAAAAGTAAAGATAAATAAAAAAACAGAAATTGAAGTAAGCTCTTATATCACTCAGTTGCAGCAGATGATAGGAGACTGGACAGTGTCCAAAGTTGAATATCTGTCTAATAAGAATCCTGCATTTATCTGTGTACTCAAATGTCTAATGTATTGAAAAGGTGAATTAGAAAAAAAAAAGTGTCCCACAAGAGTCACTAAGAAAATTTAGCTAATATTTTATAACTAGAAACAAGTTTGCAGACTAAGATCAATCAGTTTCCTTAAAACCTCAAAAAGGATCATTTATTTTGAAGTTGAACCTGACCCCAGGCAACCTGGTTGAAGTAAACCTAAATTCTCCCTGGGAGAACACAACTTAAAACCAGGTCTCATGTGAAATATCCTGTAAAAAAAGTTCACAATAAAAAAAAATCACTAATAAAAAGTATCATCATAAACATGAATTCACAAAAATAATAACATGTTTGGCTCCTAAGAATCAGAAAATGAATGAGCTGCAGGATTGCATAACTTTCATCCCATTTTGTGAAGTTTCAAGCTAACTTTCCAGAGGTAATGCTTTCACTAAGTCATCATTCATCTTGAAAAGTAAAAATGACAACAATTATGTTATTTAGATATTTACCTCCTAGAGGATCCACACTAGTTTGAGCCTTAACTGCTGCATTAATTTGCTTGTCAAAGATTACCTCTGTTTTGTTTGCCTTAGAGACAGAATTTAGAACGCAAAGCAAATTCTTTCGTGAACTGAAGAGAGACTATTTCATGTTTTCCATGAAATTTTTCATCTTATGTTTCCAAGTGCATTGTGTCCCAAGTAACTTTAAGATACAAGCCTTTCATGAAACAGGATTGAGACCCATGACTAGAGGTTGCCAGAGCTCTTTAATTTTCTAACAGACCAATCAAAACCAACACTATACCAAATGGACTGACTTAGAAGAGAGCAGAGGCACTGGGAGTGGGGGTGGGGGATATAGGATTTCCTGATAAGTGAATTCTACAGAAGAACAGTTGCTAGTCTAAGATTAATATTTGGGTTTAAATTGCTTAATAAAAAAATTGCCACTTTCCCTTTAAATGCAAGATATGAATAAACTATTACCAGACATGCAAGGTAGTTAATGAATATCTTGGTTGTTTGTATACCAGCATTTTGGACCAAGATTATTAAAATGCATTATTTGGAGGGAGACTTTATTCATTATAGTTAAGTACAGCATAATACAGTGAACACAATTGGAATGTCACTCAAATTGCAAGTATGACTCACTGTCATACTCCTTTGAAGTTTAGTCATGCTTGCAAGGTTATACAACTTCTCTTAGATCCAGGGTAAAACCAATTTAGCTTGTGGAATTTCTAGGGGGGATTACATGAGCTAATTTATGTTAGTGTTCAGTGATTCATAGCAGTTCAGTAGAACATTCATTTCATTGTTATTTTGAGTAAATTTCATTGTGAATTCCTAAGATGGGAAATCACCTTTTTCTTTTTTTAAAAAAAAAATGTATTTTGTGCAATTCTATAATGCAAGATAAATACCATTTTTGATACCCTCATTAACTATAGGACAATATAGAAACACATATCCCTATAACCTTCCCACCTATAGGAAAGAACCATATAAACATGAATTCTTGTTCTGTTTTTACCCTCGGCAATTTTATGTATGCCCTCAGAGTCTTGGTTTAGCCATCCATGAAATGAAGCTAGGTTAACTAAAACGAAACAATAGAGGTAAAAAGTGTTATGTAAAAATACAATGACTAATAGTAATAATGTACCTCAAGAGTTAATTTTGTTTATACACTATGCCTATCCCAGTAAGAATAACCATTAAATACGGGTTGAAAGGGCGAGAGGGGAGAGAACTATAGGAAGGATCAAAGGGAGGAAGGGAAGAAGAAAGAACATGATAGAACTATTCACGTTTTTCTGGGTCACTACATGCGAAAGAATGAAGCTTGACTACTACCTCACACCATGCACAAAAACCAACTCAAAATGGATTAAAGAACTAGACATAAGACCTGAAACCATAAAATACATAGAAGGAAATATAGGCGAAGCACTACGTGATATGCACCTCAAAGACATATTTACAGACCCAAAGCAGTGATAGTGAAGGCAAAGATAAACAGCTGGGACTACATCAAATTAAAGAGCTTCTATAAAGAAAAAGAGACAATAACCAAAACAAAGAGAAACCCTACCGACTGGGAGAACATTTTTGCACACAACACTAATGATAAAGGACTGATCACAAAAATCTACAAAGAGCTGATAAGACTCAACAAAAACAAAGAAAATAATCCAGTCAAAAAATGGGCAGAAGAGCTAAAAAGAAACTTCTCTGAAGAGGAAATGCAAATGGTCAACAGGCATATGAAAAAATGTTCAACATCTGGTGGGAGTGCAAACTTGTCCAACCACTATGGAGAGCTGTGTGGAGATTTCTGGACCTACTAAACATAGAGCTTCCATGATCCAGCAATTCCACTCCTAGGTATTTACCCAAAGGACACAGAAACATCAATTCCAAAGAGCACCTGCACCCCTATGTTTATAGCAGCACTATTTACAATAGCTAAGCTTTGGAAACAACCCAAATACCCAAAAATAGATGATTGGATCAAGAAGATGTGGTACATATACACCATGGAATATTACTCAGCATTCAAAAAAGAGAAACACATGCAATTTGCAGCAACATGGATGGCGTTGGAAGGGATCATGCTCAGCGAAATAAGCCAGAAAGAAAAAGAAAAATACCGGATTGTCTCACTCATAGCAGGAATCTAGAAAACTTAAATAAAGGACCAGGAAAATGAATAACTATAAGAAAGTGAAAATCAAAATCAACAAAAAACTATGAACCAGAGACACACTACGGGGGTAGTGGGGTGTAGGGAGGGGCGGGGAGAGGAAGGACTGGAGTCAAAATAAGGGGGGGGTGCAATTGTATGGGGAATATAACCATAATGAAAAAGCACACATTGTGCAAAGATGAAAAATGATGTAAGAATTATATAAAATAAAATATTCTAAAAAATCACGTTTTTGCTTCAGATTCTTACATTTTCAGTCTATGTAATTTTTTTCTGTCACCAGAATCTTCCTTTCCTTTTCTTCTTACTTTCTTTGTCTCAGTTCCTAAATGCTCAAAAACCTGAAGCAGTTTAGAAAGGAAATGTTGCTGAAAAGGAGATGCATTGGCATCCAAAATAAGAGTCAGTTCTTCAGATTTAAGAAATTCTTAAATTGACAATGATAGATTAATGCCAAACAGTTAATCTGATCATTAGAAGCTGATATCAGAGCCTTTATCTTCCTACCTGAGACCTGAGGTATCTACTTGAAAGTCTTATTCTTCTGGCTTTTTCCAACTTCCATAACTCTAGAGCAGAATTTCTCCACCTAAGTACTAATAGGGCCTTTCTTTATTGTTCTTTGTAGAATATTGAGTTGCTTACTACTAGATGCTAGTATCACCCCTTACTCAAGTATGATAACCAAAAATATTTCAAGATACTATCAAATGTCCCCTGGGGAGGCAAAATAGCACCCCTACCCCCATGGTGTGTTTTGGATTGGGGCTTTCTCTCTGGAACTCATAGCAGTTCTCCTACCAAGAAGTTGTAGTATGTGTAGTAAAGGGAAGAAGAAAGAATATATTAGTTGAAAGACCATAGGTTTTGAAGCCAGAAAATTTGAGCTTGAATTTTGACTCTATATTTGGATTTGTTTTTCATAAGCTGCTTAGTTAGCTGCTGAGTTTGATGTGTTTCATTTATATATACAAACTTGGAAGTTTTCTTTGTGACACTCACTGTCACCAACAGATTATATATTTATTGTCTGTTATCTGCCTTTACTATATTATAAACTCCATAAAGAAAAAAGGGTGAAGTCTTTGGTTTATACCCTACATTCCCTCAATTCTTAGAAAGTCTGATACACAGGAATGACTCATTAGTATTTGTTGAATAATGTTTCTATAAGTAGCACAAATATTAGTGTGTAGTATATAGTAGGTGTCAACAATTATCTTTTCAATCTATTCTCATTTTTCAGGATAATTAAGTTCTATTAAGTCATCAAACACTGAGTTAGCAAACTTTGAACAATTGCTCTTACGGGAAATACAGGGTTAGTTTCCTTTGGGGTCTCCAGTCACATTTTTAATCAATGCATTCTATTTGTTTGTGTTTAAAAACATCTTATTTAATATCTATTGCTGATTCATTATCATTGAGCCCACAGCCTATGGCACCATAATTCATGGCTAAGTTAAGCTAATTTAATATATGTATTTTTTTTCTTAAGATACATCACAGTATTCTTGCATTTTGTGCATTTTGTGTTTAGCGTTAAATAGCAAAATCACTCCCCCTCCCCAAAACAAACAAACAAACAAACAAACAAACAAACATACCACTAAGTACATTGTGAAAAGGAAACTTGTTTATATTCAATAGTATGAGAGCTGAAATAAGAAGGCAGAGTGTAACTTAGTTTGACCTTAGCTAGGAATGTGTGAGTTGGGTGACTTCAGTTTTTCACCATTTTACCCAGGTCCATGAATGACCATGAAAACACTGTGAGCAATACCTTGGTTTTACAAATAAATTTTAGGAAGTAGGCAAATTCATGAAATTTCAGTCCACAAATAATGACATTGACAGTGTTTGTGGGCAAGAGCGTGTGCATGTATGGAGGAGTAAAAATGTAACCCAAAAGATATATATACATATACATATATATGTACATATATGTATATATGTAAATGTATATATATGTAAATGACTGCCAAATCAATTAAAAAAAAAGAAAAGATTAGCTTTACAAGGGAATCTTATTGTTAATTTCATTCTCAGGGAAAATAGCAAAATTGCATTCCACTCCTGGGAGATTTCTCTGTATATCTAACAACAGAACAGGGTCTCTCTTTCGAAGGTATCTCCCTCACCAACACACAGAGGGAACCAATGACTATAAATTCCTAGTGCATGCTTTGTTCCAATTCTGTGTTCTTTGTGGTTCCCAGTTCTTCACATATTCAGAGATTTTTCCACTCCCTCTTTCTGACTTATAGTTTAATTCCATCATGATCTGACAGAATTGTAGTTTTTTTATTCTTTTACAATTTTAAGGTGTGTTTCATAAGACTATGTGGTCTACCTTAGTGCATACTCCATGTGAATTTGAGTAGAGTGTGTATCCTGCTATTGTTTTATGGAGTATTCTATTAATAACAACTAGGTCAAGTTGACTTAGTGTGATTCAGGTCAACTATATCCTTACTAATTTTCTGCCTGCTTTATCAGATACTGAATAAGTGGTGGTATTATGGTGATCAACTATAATAACACATTTATATTTTTCTCCTTCAAGTTCTGTCAGTATTTGCTTCTTATGTTTTGATGCTCTATAGTTAGGTATGTCTTTTGGAGAACTGACTTCTCTCATTATAGAATATTTCTCTTGGTCTCTGGAAATGTTCCTTTTTCTGAAGTCTATTTTGTTTAAAATTAATATAGCTACTTTAACTTGCTTTTATTAGTCTTATCATGATATATTGCTCTCCACTTTTTTCTTTTAATCTTAGTGTTTATGAAGTAGATTTCTTATACACAACATATAATTGGGTCTTTTTTTTTTTTTCACCCACACTGATAGTCTCTGTCTTT